TTTTCTTAATGTTTGCTTTTAAATTAAGAAATTAAATAATATATAATACTAAAATTTGAATTATAATTTATAGTTTGATACCAAACTTAATGACATAAATTTATAAAATAGTAGTTCAATAAAATTTTGAATGCGAGTCAACAAAGGCAATGACATGGCCTTTGACCCAGGTGGAAAAGGTAAAACAACTGACTTATAAGTTGTCCAACAATCAGGCTTACAAATTAAAATTTTATAAGCCTTGGTAGGACAATTAACTTTGTAGTGCCAAGATGATAAAATTGGACCATTGAATAAAAAAATTAAAAATACACAAATTAAAAAAATTTTCAAAGATGAAATTTATTTAATAACATTTTAATTTATATAATTTCTTATATAGAAAAATTTTAAAAATTGTAAATTTTGATTTTGGATTAATTTTAATGTATGCTGAACTAAAACATTAGTATTTGTGAATTTTCTGAATTTCCCAGTATTTCAAGAAGTTGACTGATCTATTAATTTGCATAAGACAAAATTTTTTTATCTGTGTAAACTTTTTCAAAGTACTAATACTGATTCTCTTATTCAGTATGGTTTTAACGATTTGAAGAATGCTCAAGCAAAACTTGATATTCATGAGCACAATGAGAACCACACAATGGCAATCAAAAAGGCATTTGAATTAGCACATTTTCACCAAGTCGGTTCTGCATTTGCAGATCAATTGCAAAGAAAAGAATAGCATTGAAGAGAAATTCTAAAATCAAGTTTCTTGCTGAGAGACATTGAGGTACTTTGGTCTGAAAACAAAGGTACCTATTTTGGCTGTTTCCTGCTTATTTCACAGTTAGACCCCTTTCTATGTGAACATCTCCACCAGGTAGAGGTACAATTTTTGACAAATTCACACAACTCTTAGCTTCCAAAGAACAACAATTGCAGAAATATGGGAAGCTAAATACTTCTCTATTAGTACTGACTCTGTGCCTGATGTAGCTCATACTGACCAATTTACCATAATTATATGCTACTTAATAATCAATGGAACTCCTGTTAAATGTTTTCTTGTATTTGTTACAACAGAAAGACATGATTCAAAACATATTTTTGATACAGTTAGAGAATATTTGAAATCAAATTACATTAATATTATGGATTGTCACAGTCATTGTTATGAGAATGCAAGAAATATGATAGCAACACATTGTGGGGGTTTAATCACAATTTTGAGAAGTCAATTCCCTGGCTGAGTGGATATAATGTGCAGCACATAGCTTGAATTTAGTCAGAGCTGCAGCAGCTGAATGTTCTAATGAAGCAGTAAAGTATTTTGACATTGAAAACAATTGTATATTTTTCTATCAGCTTCTCTTCAGAGATGTCCAAAATTGACAGAAAACTTGTCATAAATTGTTCGTGTTGTGAAAAGCTTGTTAGAAACCCTCTGCTAACAATGATGTAACCAAAGCACTGACATTGAATTACACAGAAATTAAGAAGGCTTTGACTGAGATAGCAGCTACAGTTTATCCAGACAAATCCTTAGTCAATGAACACTGAACATTGCTCTTCATGTGTGATATTGTGAGTAACATGAATGGGGTAAACAAAGTTTTGCAAG